TTAAATTTATGTCATACATAACAATATGTATATAATAAATTTATAATTTGTTATATACAATAATTATTATTGTATATAACAAATCATTTATTAATTATATACATACTGTTGAATATTATTGAATAATATACATATAATAATAATAATAATATATATATATATATATTTATATAAATATATATGTATATACATATATACATATATATATATATATATATATATATATATATATATATATATATATATATATATATATATATATATATATATATATATATATATATATATATATATATATAATATATATATATATATATATATATATATATATATATATATATATATATATATATGTATATATATATATATATATAGATTGTCTATTTGCCATAAACCAGGAAAAATTGTTGCTCTTAAGGGAAAACACAGTGTTGGTGGCTTAACAAGCTCCGAAAGAGGTAAAACAATCACAATAGTTTGTTGCCAATCAGCAAGCGGGTTTTTTGTCCCTCCGATGTTGATCTATCCACGTATTCGAGTGAAACCTGAATTTTTAGATAAAGCTCCAATAGGTTCTATTTCTGGTGGCAGCAAAAATGGCTGGATACAACTGAGTTGTTTGAAATATGGTTTGATCATTTTTTACAAGCAGTCCAGCCTCAGTCAAGAAACCAACCAGTTCTTCTAATTTTAGATGGACAAGTCATAAAAAAAATCTTATTGTTATTAAAAAAGGGCGCCAATTAAATGTTATTATTTTATCACTTCCATCCCACTGCACCCACAAACTGCAACCACTTGATGTTTCGTTTTTTAAAAGCCTCAAAATATTCTATAATCAGGAGGTTAATACTTGGCTTCGTCACCATCCTGGTCGTCTTGTAACTGAACTAGAGGTTGGTGAATTATTTGGAAAAGCTTATGGGAAAGCTGAACTGTTCAAAATTGTCAGTCATGGTTCAAAAAATGTGGAATATATCCATTTGATAGAAATGCGTTTACTGAAGAAGACTTTGCTGCAGCTAAGGCTACTGATCAGTCGTATGTTGTATCAAAAATTTCAAAACCAAATAATACCTCTGAAATGCACCCTACTCTCAACAATAAGTTAGACTCTGCTAAAGAATTAGATAATATTGATTTTGTTACAGATTGTTTAATTGACACTCAAAAAGGTAAATTGTCATAAATGTTGTTTTATTTTTAGCATCTTCCGCATTATTTAAAATACAAATATGACTTTTTTAAAATCAAGCAAAATATTAACTTATCTGTTGTTTTATTAACCTAAAAAAAGGTTTCTTAAAGAAAGTTCAAATTTTTTAAAAACATTTTAACTATTTTTTATAATTTGCATGTTGCCTATTTTTATTCACCCTCTTTAGTTAAATAATTTTTATTTAGAATCTATTTCACCAAATTCATCATTTACACTTCAGAAGTCATCAGAATTAGCCACCTCACACGATGCAACCTCACAACCTTATGGTGTTACATTTGGATCACTAGCTGGACGTGACATTAAAAATGCAAAGCAAACAGGTATAAAAAGGAGGGTAAATCATGCTGAAAAAAATACTGGATCACCATATAAATCTCAGGTAGAGGAATCTTTAAACTTGAAATATAAGAACAGACAGCCATGTAAAAAGTGCATTAAAAAAAGTATATCTACTCATCGAAAGACGTGTTTGAAAAACCTTGATGCTAAAGGTGTGATTAATAAACAACTTTGTGCAAAGTGTCAATACAGTTATGGTGATCCTTATTTAAAAGATAATTGGGATATATTCCTTAAATGCTGTAGATGGTGGCATGAAACATGTGCTGCTATATGTGGTGTTTATACTAAAAAAGTATTTACTTGTGATAACTGTATAAAGCACTGATTCTTAAAAAAAAAGTTATATGTCATATATTGATAAAATGTGTTTTAACTTTCTTAAATAAATCTCTTGTTAAAAAAGTTTCCTTTGAGTTTTGTTTTTTATTTTTTTAAGTTTAACTATTGAAGTTATGTAAAATATTATTTTATGAACTACTTATGAGCTTATAAACATAAATTCTTATTTAAACAGAATTTAGAAATAATCATCGAAATCGTAGAAATTAGTTATCGTTTCATTAACAATTATACTTTGGAAGCACATTTATATTTATTAAGGTTTCTGTTTTGGGTGACATTCATACTTTAAGAAAAAAGGTGACATTCATACTTTAAAAATACATGACATTCATACATAAAAAGGTGGTTCAAAAATTATTATTTTTTGCAACTGAAACGCCCTTAATTAAGTGCCAATTAGGTGTTACAAGTTCTTTTTAAGAGACAATTCTTTATACAATCTAGATTTATAGCTGTTTATAATATTTTAAATATATTAATGCGTTTTCAACAAACTTCTTAATTTTCATAACTATGCCGAATTTACCGTACCATAGTGCCGAAAATACCATACTAGATCGCTAATTTCGTCATTTTTGAGTATTTTGTAAAAGAGGTTTTACGTAAAACTTTGTAAGTTGGAAACAATTTTTTAACTATTATTTAATAGATATATCTGCAGTGCATTGATATGCATGATTTTTTAACATTATTAAAGCAACCGTTGTCTATAAACAGCAAAATAGCTTAATACGCCGAAATTACCCTACTTTACCCTAAAGCAAAATCTATTATTCCCTCCATAAAAACAAGTCCATTTCAATCGCAGAGTGGTCTTGCAAAAAAATTAAAAATTTAAATGCAGCGAAACTTGGAAAAAGTATTTAGATCTCAAGAATATAAAGATCATAAAAAAGAATTTCAATGCGATTAATTGATGGAGAAGTTAAACCATATCATAAAAAAGAATTTCAATGCGATTAATTGATGGAGAAGTTAAAGCATAACATAAAAAAGAATTTCAATGCGATTAATTGATGGAGAAGTTAAACCATATCATAAAAAAGAATTTTAAAGCGATTAATTGATAGAGAAGTTAAAGCATATCATAAAAAAGAATTTCAATGCGATTAAATGATGGAGAAGTTAAACCATATCATAAAAAAGAATTTCAAATGCGATTAATTGATGGAGAAGTTAAAGCATATCATAAAAAAGAATTTCAAAGCGATTAATTGATAGAGAAGTTAAAGCATATCATAAAAAAGAATTTCAATGCGATTAATTGATGGAGAAGTTAAACCATATCATAAAAAAGAATTTCAAATGCGATTAATTAATGGAGAAGTTAAAGCATATAAAAAAGAATTTCAATGCGATTAATTGATGGAGAAGTTAAAGCATATCATAAAAAAGAATTTCAATGCGATTAATTAATGGAGAAGTTAAAGCATATCATAAAAAAGAATTTCAATGCGATTAATTGATGGAGAAGTTAAAGCATATCATAAAAAAGAATTTCAATGCGATTAATTAATGGAGAAGTTAAAGCATATCATAAAAAAGAATTTCAATGCGATTAATTGATGGAGAAGTTAAAGCATATCATAAAAAAGAATTTCAATGCGATTAATTGATGGAGAAGTTAAAGCATATCATAAAAAAGAATTTCAATGCGATTAATTGATGGAGAAGTTAAAGCATATCATAAAAAAGAATTTCAATGCGATTAATTGATGGAGAAGTTAAAGCATATCATAAAAAAGAATTTCAATGCGATTAATTGATGGAGATGTTAAAGCAATTCATCGTTCAAAAAAGTTGTACAAACTTTTACACAAAACATATTTGAAGACTTAATTGAAGGCATTGGAACTCTTTGCAAAAAAAGGTAGCAAAAAGTAGATAAGTCGCCAAAAAATTCAAGCATTTTAAAATAAGAAAATTGTTCCTAAATTCTTTATATGGCAAACAATCTGCTTCAGTGGTTTTATAAATTACTCGTTAAACTTTGAACGCGGATTAGTATATACAAGAGTTCTTAAAAAACGCCTTTTTCTGTTTACTAAAAAGCAGGATATACCCACAATATATTGGTATAATTTGACCACTTGGACAAGAAACTTTTAAAATGGCGTGAACAAATTAGCGTTGAATTTATAATATATATTTAAAGGAAGCACACCTTTGATTATATCCTGAGAGCGATTTATTAAAAGTTTTTTGTCAAATATAAAAAGATTTTTATTGAAAACAAAAAAATTAGCTTCACATAAAAAAGATTTAAAAAAAAAAAATTGAAAGAAAGTTTAAAAAAAAAATTTTTTTGTTTTAACTTTCTTTCAATTCCAAGATCCAGCAGATGATTTTAAGTATTCGCAAAAATATTTGGTTCTATGCATCCAAGAAAAAATGTAAAAAATTGTTTAAATAAACTAATAATTCGGTAATTTAATTATGTCAAAAAATTAAAAAAAACCTGTTTTGTGGCTCTCGAGTAATTATCAATAAGAGGGTGATTTCATCATGTTCAACTAATAAATATATATATATATGCAAACGCTGATTTATAAAAATTTAGAAACTATTTCACTTGATTGTTGATTGAAAAAAGCAAATTCCAGTCAAAAATAAATTTTTGATCCTAAAAATATTTATTTTGTAATGGGACCCTAAAACCCACACGGTATTAATACATTAATTAAGTAAAATTATAATAGACTCTTTCTTATTTATGTGTTTTCTTTTGGCTTTTTTGCAGAAATAGGATTTACACCTTTACTAAAAACTTAATTTTGCAAACTCAGTTGTAAATTTCAAGTTTTTATGAACTATTATACCAAAAAGTAATAAAGCTTCCTCATTAGAATTTTTCGTATTTTTAGTATATCTTTCATGAAATTAGGAGTGACTATTTTTTAAACTTTTCCTTTAAAAAGTTATTGTCTCAATCAATTGATATTATTGCTCCTGAACAGAGTTTTATCAAGACATTTTAAAAATAGTTAACGAAAAGTTAAGTATTATTAATGAAAGCTTTATAATTAGCAAACTTTCTTTAAAAACGGAGAAAACTAAATTTACACTATTCCATAAAGTAAATATATTTAAAAATATTCCCCATAAATTACTTACAGTTATATGCATTTGTATGGATTCAATATATTTTTTAACGGAAAAATAAACAAATAAACATAAATGTAATGTGCGAGTAGATGTGTGTATGTTTTATTTTAGATGTTCTAAAAACATTTTACGAAATAAAATTGTAAGCTGAATTTGGAATCAAATTTGTCTTTAATATTGCTTGATTTTGACTATAACTATATCAAAAATTTATACACTTGTACATCACGCGTTCACATACGACGAAAATACGCAACGACACTTGTACAAGTGTTGTCAAAACAATTGTCAAGTGCGTAATTTAATGTTGTAGACTTTATTTTTTAAATAGGTCAAATAAGTTTTTACTTGAAGATATTGAAGTTTATCATAATTTGGTGAATACAAATGTTATTCCCAATTATTTCAAATATTTGATTAGAGCACTCCATCTATAATATGAATAACACCATTTCTAGCAAGTATATCTTTTTCCACAACCTTTACTCTATTGTCAATTCTTAAAGTATCTGAGTCCACACGTCTCGCGGTAAGCAATTTAGGTACATGGTTCATTGTTTTTAATCGATATATTACTCCTTGCTGAAAATTATTAAAATATAAAACACCAGGTCCAAGCATATGATTTCGAATGAAATTCTCCCTAACATTTACATTTTCCGACAAAATATTTATGTTTTGTTTTAGCAAAATTGAAGTAGTAGGAAGAAACAAAGTGTAATAAAAAGTATTTTTTATTAGATTCTTTATTGTTGTGTTTCTAATGATATACGAATACATTTGAAATCTTGGATCAGCATTTATTATTTCCAGTAAGGTACTTTTCTCGAAAAACAAAACCTTATCGACAATGTATATCAATGTATTGTTGGCACGAATGTATCCATCAATAATGTTTGCCGATTGAACAGATATTGTCTAAAAATAATTAGAAAAATTAAACTGACGAATTTTATTGTCTATTGCAGTTCATAGTTTATAGAGACTAAGTGAAGTAGAGATTTAACTCTTAAATTTGTAGTCTAGTGAATAGAGTGTTGAGGCTCTTTTCAAAAGTTTTTATTTAAAAGATTTTTAGTTAAACACAGTTTAGGCATTTATTGATTTAAAAATAATAATTTTTTAAAAATAATGTTCCAGAAAAGCAGCTACTAATAATAATGTAGAGAAAACAGTACAATTTGAACCAGCTTAAAATAAATTAAACACGCATTAACAAAAACTTTCTATGAATGTATAGAGAACTGCTAGCAATTTAATAAACCTAAATAAGTCTTTACTGTACTTATTTCATAACAACAATAAAGCTTGTCAAAACTTAAATGTAATTTAAATTTAAACCTAGTTTAAATATAATTAAAATTTAAATTGTCATGATCAGATTCATCACAATTACGCAGCTACTGGTAACAATTAATGCAATAAAGCCTGAACACCTTGCTACTACTAGTAATATTTAATGCAGTACAACTGGAACATATGTTTTTTATGACTTTTTTTTTTGAAAAAGACTAGAAGAAGTTATATCTGACTTAATTTACACCCCCCCCTGCTCTACTTAACACGGGCTTTTTAGTTATATAGTTTGTTATAATAGACCCCTTCCTAGTTAAAAAAAAAATAAGTTAGCGTAAATTTAAACCTTTGTTACGTCGTTTTCTATTCAAGATGATGAGCGCTGGATTTTCTTGAGTATATTCAACAATTTTGCTCTTGTCTTGATAGTGACAATGACTTTGAAATTTCTGCTTTTAATTTAATGATGTTACAGGTGTAAACCTTAATGATGTTACAGGTGTAAACCCTAATGATGTTACAGGTGTAAAATTTAGTTTAATAGTTCTGTTTTGAATGGTAAAGTTTTCTAAAATCTCTAAAAGCTCTCAGAAAGAGTAAATTCAATAGTATTTGCAAAATATGAAAGATCTCAATCAACTCTCAAACATATAAAAGATAAAACGTTCCTAAAACTTATCCCAAGAATGAGATGCAACTATTTTTAAAGACGTTTCTTTTATTTCTACTCTTAAATCTAACGAGTATACTTCTTATGTCGTTTTTTTATTTTCATTACAAAAACCTCAAGAACACTTTTTGATGAATAAGAGGTTTGTAATTAAGATTTATAACTTGTAACTATTTTTAATATGTTTAAGCGGTTTATGAGAGAAAAAACTATAAGTTATTTTGTTCTAAATAAAAGAACGAGTAGAAAATGCAGATCGTAGAACGAAGATTGTAAAACAAAGATTATTGGACAAAAATAGTCGGCAAAAATTGTAGAACAAAGATCGTAAAACAAAGATTGTAGGTCAAAGATAGTAGAAAAAAAATCACAGAACGTAGAGCATAGAGCATAAAAAAAAAAATGAAACCGGTGAATAAAGATATTATAGTTGTGGGAGTTGACTTAAATAGAATAAACAATAATAAGGACGAAATTGAAATATGATTTAAAACTGGCAATAATAGTTGGCTGAAACCGCCTAATGTCTCTAAAACACCTTGTTTGATGTTCGTGTGACTGTTAAGGTGAGTTTCCACTCACCTTATCCTTTTTTTCACGGGAACGGGATAGGAAAGGAAAAAATAATCACGTGAGCATGCGTAGTTTTCCTTAAAACTTATACTACGCATGCCCACGTGATTATTTTTCCCGTCCCTTTCCCGTTCCCGTGAAAAAAAGGCTGCGTGGAAACTCGCCTTTAAAGTTCAAGGAGAAGTGTGATTTTATAGCAGAAAACTCTAGAAAATTTGGGAATAATTATGTGGTCTTCACTTAATTTTTTTTTATTGAAAAAAAAAAGGTTTTAATTTCTCGTTGTGCAATTGCAACGAGAAAATTACGATATTATAGAAATAAGTGAATTTATTGTTAGACAACTAAATCACTCTACTTTCTGTTGCTAATTGTTAGACAACCAAATCACTCTACTTTCTGTTGCTAATTGTTAGACAACCAAATCACTCTACTTTCTGTTGCTAATTGTTAGACAACCAAATCACTTTCTGTTGCTAAAGTTGTATCGTATTTAAACTTTTTCACGGCTTACGATCGATTTTACGATCTAGAAAACATTTTTATTACAGTCTTACAGAAGTGTTCACACTAGTTTCCATACTACTCAAACTCTTTAAGTGTTTAACTAATTCTCGAAAACATTTTTATTACAGTCTTACAGAAGTGTTCACACTAGTTTCCATACTACTCAAACTCTTTAAGTGTTTAACTAATTCTCGAAAACATTTTTATTACAGTCTTACAGAAGTGTTCACACTAGTTTCCATACTACTCAAACTCTTTAAGTGTTTAACTAATTTTCGAAAGCATTTTTATTACAGTCTTACAGAAGTGTTCACACTAGTTTCCATACTACTCAAACTCTTTAAGTGTTTAACTAATTCTCGAAAACATTTTTATTACAGTCTTACAGAAATGTTCACACTAGTTTCCATACTATTCAAACCTTTTAAGTGTTTAACTAATTCTTACCTTCTCGTCTGCGGGAAAATGCCATCTTTTATGATTATGATTTTTAAAAACTCTTGAAGTTTCTCTAACACATTCCTAATCTCTAGAGATTTCTCAGACACATTCCTAATAGGAAATCAGCTAGTGACTAGAAGCAATGTCCGTTACAATAAAGAAATTTGGTCAGAAGATCGCTAGCTAAATAAGAAAATGATTGGTTGGAAAAACTCTCAACACATTATATAACTTTATTCATATATTTATACATGCTATATACTTTACTGTTCCTTTAAACTATCAACTTTTTTATATATTTTTTTCATGGACGGCTTTCTAAACCTGATACTGCAGTTTATCCTCCTCCAGCTAATTGCTATATAAAGACCCCAAACCAAGGTCCGCAAAACGAGTTTAACTCACTAAAGAGCATCATGACACACTTTAGCAAACCAAAGATAAGTGAGTTTAAGAAGAGCAAAGGATAGTAGAATGAAAGAAGATGTCTAGTTAGAAAGATAGAATAAAGAAAGCGGGCAGATATTACACTATGTGTTAAAAATTGCAATTCAAGTTCATATCAAGGTCACTTGATATGAACTCTTGATATGGCTCTTGCCAAAAAAAATATTTTGCCGACTAACTTATCTTAAAAAAAAATGTCCTCGTTTCCCTGCATTTGCCGACTGCCAACTAAAGATCCAATTTCGCTGATTCCAGTGTCCGATTCGCCGAACAATAAAATTCGTAGGCAGGATAGACACCCCCCTTGGGACGCAATGTATGTATATATGTATATACATATGTATGTATATATATATATATGCATATATGTATATATATGCAATGTATGTATATATACATATGTATGTATATATATATACATATGTATGTATATATATATACATATGTATGTATATATATGCATGTATATATATATATATATATATATATATATATATATATATATATATATATATATATATATATATATATATATATATATACATATATATACAAGGTATACATATATATATACATATATATATGCAATGTATATATATACATATATACACAATGTATATATATACATATATATATATATATATATATATATATATATATATATATATATATATATATATATATATATATATATATATATATATATATATATATATATATACAATGTATACATATAAACACCTCATACTTAATATCAACAATTTTATTGACATGTATTAAACTTAACAACAATGCATATACTAAAATATTTAAGTATATCACTGACTGTATATTGTTTAATCACTTTTAACTATATATAAAAATGAATTAGATTTATTTAACCATTTAATGAGGTACTCGATGATAAGACTTCATAGTCTTTTACAAATCTCCTTTACAACAACACGTTTAAATTTAAAGAAACAATAGTTTTTAGTTTTTATTTAAAAAAAAACTCTTAGTTTTTATGATTAAGAACATTTATTAATTTAACGTTATATTTTGTCATAATTGCTTATTTACGTATTCTTATGTTATGTTATATACTTTATACTTTGTATTATATTATGTGATAGAATTGTTACGTAATAAAGTTTAAATATATCAACAAACAAAAAAATGCATATATATATGTATATATATATATATATGTATATATATATATATATATATATATATATATATATATATATATATATATATATATATCTTTAGTGTTGACATGTTTTCTAACTAATATATATATATATATATATATATATATATATATATATATATATATATATATATATATATATATATATATATATATATATATATATATATATATATATATATATATGATATATATATATATATATATATATATATATATATATATATATATATATATATATATATATATATATATATATATATATATATATATATATATATATATATAAAATTTTTATAAACAATTTACTCACGTTTAATGAAGTCGATATTGTAAGGTAATTTGAGCTCAATGTCTTAAATTCTGAGCGGTCTAAAATATCAGTGTATATGTATCCATAACAGATATGATAACTGGAAAAGTCTTCTAAGTTTCTATTTGTCATCAGGAATGTTTTTTTATCATTATTCATTGTACGAAATGCACTGTTACTTGGTGCAAATATTGTATACTTTTGATCAAAGTTGAAAATTTCTTTAATACTGCTGCTCGCTTGTAAAATAGCACCAAAAGATGTAACGCCAATTTTTTTCATTGAGGTGATTGGATTATCTTCTATTCAAAAATATATAAATATCTATTAATTAGAGTGCGAAAATAGTTCGTTAATCAAATATCGATGTACGAGTATTCGTTAGAGATTATTCGGTTGAATTATTCGTTAAAGCATATTCGTAAAAACTAATCGTTTAAATTATTAGCAGGGTACGAATCATTTAAATTAAAGCAGGATACGAATATATTCGTAAACCTATATTCGTTTAATAAATATTAACCGTTTAGCAAATATATATTCGTCGAACAAATAAATGGGAACAAATATATATTGGTTTTTTTACTCGCTAAACGAATAAGTTTGTTCAACGAATATTATTCGTTTATAGAATATAATTAGTTAAGCGAACTTTATTCGTTAAACGAATATTTTTCGTTAAAAGAATAAAGTTCGTTTAACTAATTATATTTTATAAACAAATAATTTTCGTTGAACAAATATTTATTCGTTAAACGAACATTAATGTTCGTTTAACGAAAAAATATTCGAAATGTTAAATAATTTTTCGAAAAACGAAATAATGTTCGTTTAATTAATAATATTTCTTTAACAAATAATTATTTGTTAATCAAATATTATTCGTTAAACGGATATTATTTGTTAAACGAATATTATTTGTTAAACGAATATTATTCGTTTAACAAATATAATTCGTTAAACGAATATTCGTTTATCGAATGTAAAATAAAAATAACTTGTAATCTACGAACATAGACGTTTTAGCAGGAAAATGCACCAAAATAAATTTAAAAAAAAGTACAAGTGTTAAAATGTAAGTGTTTAAAAGACGACATATATAATGGAGACGGAGCAGTCGTTTAAATTGTTTTCAAAAAATTTTAAGACATACATAACATACAAGACATCATTTAAGACATAAAAGATCTCATTTTATTAGAATTTTAAACATCATTTAAGAGTTAAGTGTCCCTTTTTATAGTTTATAAACGAGAAAAAATATTTTTCCGCTTTTTCTTTTATTTCTAGTACTTTTCATAATATTAGAATCTTATTGTTATATTATTTTTTTATTATTTATCTTTTAATTACGAAATTAATTACAATTTGTTGTAATTGTCACAATTTATTACATGTCATTTTACTTTATATATTAAGTAAGAAAACATTACTTATGAATGTAATGTTTGTTTGTAATGAATAAATGATGTTTACTTGCTTATTATATATTACATCATATAATAATTATATAACCAAAATTTTCAACAACTCAATTAATCACCAGCAAGATAACTTTACAGATAAATTTTTTACGCAATTTGAGTTTGAGCTTGAGTTTATTTATTTCAGAAATCAATTATATAATACATTTATATATTTTGATGAGGAAGTGCTACACCAGGCACTTCCATTTAGGGTTAGGACTATTGTAATTGTAATGAAAACAATAACAATAACTATTGTTATTGTATTAACTAAATTTAGAAAGAATAACAATACTTGTGATTTACAACTATTGTAATACTGCAATACAATAACAATAAATATTGTATTGCAATTCATCTTTATAAAGCAAAAACAATATCTGAAAAAAAAATGTGTTGTAATTACTAGGGCTGTACCGAATTTCGGCTCCGGCTCCTGCTTCGGCCGAAATCCGGCTATTTTTACAAATCCGGCTAAAATCAGGCTCCGGCAAAATGTTAGCAAATCCGGCATAATTTTGGCCGGATTTCTGAATTTTGGTCAGATATTTATTACATCTTTCTTGCCCGTGATAACATGTATACTTAATATTTTATTTTTACAAATCAATTTTTTAGTAATTTTATAGTCTATGAACTTCATGTTTGTTTTGGTATCTGTATTTACATTTCTTTACAATTTAATTAGCTAAGCCTATTTCAAACAACAACGCAACAAAAATTCTGAAGGGAAGACACACGATATTCTACTATAATGTAGGTATAAAGACTATGAAGTCAATCCTAATCAAGTCATTGGATGAGCGTTTTAAAGGCATTGAGGAGAAACATTTTTATATAGTGGTGACACTGGTTGATCCATAACTTCAAACTAAACTCTTCTCATTACAGGCAACACTGACAGGTGAAAAAGAAAGATTGAAGTCAATGAGCATGCTGAGGAGCAGATTGACCAAACTAAAGAAAATCCAGTAAAACAAGCCCGGCTGGATAATTCTCTTACATTATCATCATTACAATGACAATATATATAGATGAAATTATTCAGTCTACGCCCGCTTATGGCATAGCACATAAACAACAATTACCAATAGGCATTGATACTCAGCTAAGCCAATATCTGGAAGAATCAGAAATATATAGACACTCTGATTCACATCCCGGCAAAAAAAGTTCTATAGAATTTCTCTAAATTTTTGAAACATATGGCCTATAGAAACTATATCAAATTTAAATAAAATGTCTATTAATTTCTATAGAAATTGCTATAAAACTTTTTAACAACAAAAATGAAGTTAAACAGAAAACAACTGTAACTTGGTATTCTGAATAGTCAACATTGTTGACCATTTTCAGCACCAAGGATGTACAGGATTTTGGCTCCTGTAGTTTTGCTTCGAAATCCGGCTCCGGCTCCGATTGCGGCCGGATCTGTTAGTAGAAATCCAGCTAATCCGGCTCCGCCCGGATTTGGAAAAATTAAATCCGGTACAGCTCTAGTAATTACCCACTACAATAACAATAAATATTGTATTGCAATTCGTCTTTATTATACAATAGCAGTATATTGTTATTATATTAAAAAAAAAAAATTTTAGTGTCAAAATTATAAAATTTTAAATTACAACTAATATATAAGTATTGATTCTGTTTCTTTTTTATTTTTTGAATATAACTTGTCCTCATTGCAAACTTTATGTAGGTCTATAAAAGAGAGTTTAATCGGGCCTGTATTTCTTTTACTGCTGGGGATAGACTAAGTTATTTGCTTTTACATTAGGCACCTATCTAATTGTTTCGAAACTTACTCAACTCACACTTACTTTAATATAACTTTTGTTTTCCTTCGGCTTTATGGCTGTATGTGTTTCATAAAGTAACTGGACACCTAGTTGCAAAGTTATAAAAGAGTTTTGTTACATAAATCAAGAACAATATTTATTTGGTGTTCTAAACTGCCTCATTTTTAAAAAATGATCCACACAAAATTTACTGGTAAGGTCTGATAGGTGATGAACAATCTGAAAATGTAGAAAATATTTTAACAAAACAAAAGTAGTTCACATTTTTAGACAATCTAATCGATAATTACCCAGGGCAATGGTTCTCTGATTCAATAACGATGTAATTGATTACACATTAGCGGTTAGATATATTGAAAAAAAAAATATTTTCACGCGCTTAATGAAGTTAATCAATTAGTTTAGACGTCATCATCCAGTGAAGCATGTCAATATCAGTTTAGACAAAATTACAAAAATATATAAAATTTCACTTTTTAGAGTAAATAATTATTTAATTACAAGCAAATGATAAAATATATATTTGTATGATTTTGATTATTATTTTAATGTTAATTCTAAATAAATTATTATTTAAACAGTTATATTATTGAACTCAAAATAAATAAAATTTATATATGTAAATGGTTGCTAGAAACGGATGCCTCGTGCGCCCTTAAACCTAATATTTATTAAGTATACGTAATATGTATACTTCTTTGGCTTTCCTGGCTTCACTTCCCTTCTCAAAACAAATAAAATTTATATATATGAATGCTGAAAACGAACGTCACGCGGGCACCGCTAAATTAAATAATAATAAATGCGTGAAAAAAACTAAATACTATAAAATACACCATAGTACTTATTGTAATTGTTTTACATCACAGCAATACAATAGTTTTAGAGCTTCAATGTATTGTTAGAAAAAAAAAACAATATAACTGTTTTTATACCCAGCAATACAATAACCATAAATAATGTTTTAATTGTATCTCTGGTATTACAATACAATATTATTGTATTGTAATTGTTATTGTATTTAATTTTTATAACAACAATAACAATAATCCTAACCCTACTCCCATGCTGATAGAAGATACTCGTGTGTCTGATCATTCGTCTATTACGATTTTCAATTTATGAACACTAACCTTGAACGAGTTGACTGATTCCGCTCTTATGGCGTTTAAATGTAGCGTATTCCAAACATTCACAATGTGGTTAGGGAAGAAATTAAATCTTTCTTGACTGTTTTTTACCCTTTGGCGTTCGATTTAAAGATAATGTCCACGTAAATTATATTTGTAAATCGATGGTGCGTAGACTTGAGGGTTATCAAAAATAATTTGATCGATACCTTTTGAAATTTTAAACTGTTGAATCAGATCACCTTGAACTCTCCTTTCTTTAAGAGTAGTTAAGCCGAGATAAAAAAAATCTTTCTTCATATGGCAAATGCTTTATTTCCGATATTGTTTTAGTTGCTTTATGTTGTACTTGTTTTAGAATAGCAATGTTTTTTTTATTGTGTGGTGACCAAGCCTGGATAGAAAATTCTAACTGGGGTATATATTTATTCTAACTTATATATGATTTGTAGAGTACTTTCCACAAAAAGAGTCCACGACTTCTAAAAATTTTCTTAAGTCTACCAAGTTTACTGTTAGCTCTTGCTTCTGCTGATTCGACTTGATAGCTTACTTTAAGATCGTCTGATAAAAGTACTTCCAGATCATGTTTGTGTTTAGTGACGTCCAGTTGAATTCTGTTTCCACTCAAATCAAGCATCGAATAAGTTTGAGTAGATTTAGAGTAACCACCCCAATGTGCATAACTTTACACTTATCGAAGTTGAGAGGCATATTCCATTTATGCAACCAATCTACAAGATTATGTCAGTTTGTAATGTTCTTTTGTCCTCCTCAGATTTTAGTACTCCGATTATTTTGCAATCGTCAGCATAAATCTTTATGTGATGAGTAATATAGTCCGGCAGATCGTTTATATATAAGATAAAAAGAAGTGGACCGAGCATAGAGCCCTGGGGGTACC